AGCCCAGGACTGTTGGAGCTTTCGAGAAGGGTATATCCTCTAGATCCTAGAGGATCCTCAGTATTGCGAGGTCTAGGTGAATCGCGGAAGATCGCAGGTTCGAATCCTGCCGTGACCAATTAATTCTTTTTCTCTTTCTTTCTGTTGGTTGCACTGGTGATCACTATCAACAGAGTCCTCTTGGGCTCTGGTGAATCTGATCGGTAGTAGTGCATGTTTATTCTTCAATCTAGTGTGTCTATGGACCTGCTACCTACTGGCCTACATATAGTAGGCCATCGGTGCTGCACACTGCTGTTGACCAGCAGTGCCGCACCGATGTCATCATGACTGCAGTAGCTCACCCACGCTGCATAGCCAAAACAAGGAAAACAACCAACATCCCACTGTTGGTCCCTATGTGGTGTAGCGCAGATCGTTGTGATAGGTAGAGTGTGGTGGGGGTTGTGGTGTTGCGTTTGTTCCCACACTTTCTTCTGAATTTTCATTGTATAATCTCGCTCATAAAATAGGTGACTTAGTTAGTTCCCCCTAATACAGTACTACGTATAATCCTTTTTCGTGTCTCCTTGTATAGCGGATAATGTCGTTGTGTTAAGTGTGTTGTCCATTATTTCACTAAAGACGGGTCCTGCTAAACGTCCTATGCTATCCTGTAGTAGCATACCTGAACGAACCAGAACATTATCAGAAATCAAATCAAGTAAAAGGAAAAGCTTCCGCTTCCTAATACTCCACCTTCCACACCCAAATCCTCATTATACATATCACCAGACCTCTCTACCAAATAAACAAACAAGTTTCCGAGACCTTGGATAAAAAGCCTAACACCCATCCTCGCCCCGCTCAGCATCAGCCAGAATCACCTCAGCAGCCTTCAAACTAGCCATGAACTGTCCAATAATCGGAAACGGGCTCGGCACCCACGGCAGGGCGCTTCCATCAACAACCCTCAACCCGCGTGTCCCGCTGACCCTAAACTGCGAATCCAGTACCGCCCAAAGGTCTCCATCCGCCCCGATGGCGGCAGTGGAGCTGGCATGATGCGAATACACCTGCCGTCGAATAAACGCCTTGGTCGATTCCTCTGTGCAATTTCTCACAACCTCAGCAGCTCCGCCGAGAATAACCCCCCCACACGGCTGAAATTCTGTAAACGGCCCGACAGCATCATCATCATGTAACTCGGCCAGAACCGAGCGACCGAACTGCACACCCTCGTACATGGCCTGCAGATCATCTATGCCTCCGCGATCCTCGTTGAAGGCATCAAAGAAAATCTCGGGCACATCAAATGGGTCAGCAGAGCGGAGCTTGACTGTCCCTCCACTTGGCCTGCCAGTCCCAGATTGCATAGTATGATGCTTGACCATGGCAAAACTAAACGTACTATCCAGGTCCCCCTGAGGCTGTGAAAATCCGGGAAAGAATCCTCGGAATATCTCTGGCTGTTGGTTCCACATTGTCAAATCATGTCGTTCGAGTTCTGCGTTGCTCTTCAACTGCATCAAGTATGGTGGTGACGGTGGGGCGGCGTAGGGACCAGTGCCATTCAACCACATCTCTGCACAGGGATCGTCGGCCTGACCTCGTCGACACTGGGAAGCTTGTGGATGAGATGGGAGGGTTATGTCGGGGTTGGCTGAGTTTGCGGCAAGGCTGATTTCCCAGTCGTCTTGGAGGTTAGCGCCTACGCCTGGTGCGTCGACTAGGAGTGGGATGTTGAATGAGCGCAGTTCAAGGGCTGGACCGATGCCGCTTAGTTTGAGGAGTTGTGGTGTGTTGAAGACGCCGGCTGATATTATTACCTCGCGACGGGCGTAGGCTTGGGATTTTACCAGCTGCGATGAGGAAGAGGAGGAGGAGGAGCGTGGATCAGCGCGGTAGAGGGATTTGCCGCGGTGATATTCCACTCCGATTGCCCGCGGGGGATTTGTCGATCTTGTTTTGTTAATAGAGCGGGAGTCAAAAAGGATCTTGGTGACGAATGACTCGAGCTGAATTGTCAGCGGGGCGCCCTCTGCCAAAGCCACGTCGAGCAAGAAATTGGCGTTGGTCCGGTTGTTGAGCGGCGTGTGGTGCCATGGAAAGGTAAACATGCCCTCTTGCTCGTCGCGGCCGGGGTCGACCGAGTTGACGTCGGCGCGCATGCGGGACATGAGGTCCATCTGGCTGGTGCCATGCCCAAACGTCTCGGCAATCTTTTGCACGACGGTCAGCTGCGCGCTCTGGTTGAGACGAGACATGTATGCCTCCGGATTCGGGGTCGAGAGCTGCAGCCAGCCGTCGAAGCCGTGGCCCGGGGTGCCTTGGGATAGGTAGGTGTTGTTTTCGAACTGCTCAAAGTATCGCTGCATGTTTGTGTGGTTCCAAGAGTCGTCGCCTGTTAGGTTGGCAATGCCGTCCCAGAAGCTGTTTTGCGGTTTGACTGAGGCGCCGGCGTTGTGCATGGAGCAGCCACCTAGGGTGCCGGAGCGAGGGTAGTAGATGCCCAGCCTTGAGGCGCCGGGATCGTCGGCTGGTCCCTCCCGGCCGACGTGGTAGCTGCCGTCGCTCCGGCGCCAAGTGAAGTAGTCATGGGCGTGGGCAATCTCGTCCTCGGCGTGGTAGCGCACAAAAAAGTCCCAGCGGGCGTTTTCATCCTCGGTGGCGAGCAGGAAGTTGGAGCCGATGGTTGTGTTTGGGTTCTGGCGCTGGTCATCGCCGGCCTCGAGCAACAAGACCGAGTAGCCCTTGCGCGAGAGATGCGAGGCCACTGGCACACCGCCGGGTCCGGAGCCCACGACGATATAGTCATATGTGTTGCTGTGGTTGCGGCCGCCAGGAGGAGCGGCTGCCACGACGAGGGCGGTGCTGAGACCGGCAGCGAGGAGGGCGGTAAACATTGCTGCGAGAGACAAAGGTTTGGATTTTGAATGCTGATCTGATAGTTTGTGTGTGATATTACTGTGTCTGATGTCTTTCTAGCCCATCATGATTAGACCTCCACGTCCTTTATATACTGATCATGTCGGCAAACTTGACAATCTTCGTTGTTGTACTTTTGATCACATTCTCGGACATAACACTTTCTCGCGCCTAGCATGTAGAAGATCCTCGCGGCATTCAGGATGGTGTATCATCTCGTGTCCCAATCCTCCGCGTTGATGCACATTGTCATGTCCGGCCTTGATGTTTACGTTCATCATCTTGCCATCAGTGTCCAAGGTACGGACTTTGGCTCGTTCCAACACAGGAGATATCCGAGTCGGCTGCGCGAGTGCGACTTCATGTCCCTATAAGGCTATAACAAGCCTCTGCCTGAAAAGCACCGCCTGCTTCTTCTCAAGACAAACCAAATACGGTGCCATTTTGAAGGCCAAGAAGTGTGTGTACGCAAGCTGCTCGTTGTATGCGGGCCCCCCAGATGTCGCCGTGATGATCTTGGCTGGGAGGAGCTATAGAAATACACCATAAGCTGACGCCCAGCCTTTTTGGTGTCCTCTCATGTATGCATTCTACCATTCCTAGGAATCCCACGGAGCTTGTTGCGACGCTCGACGTACATGGCTCACCCGGGGTTAAGCAAGAGCGAGACGCGACGCCAAGGAAGGACCGCCAGCTGGCCTCCGGCGCCAGGCCCTTGACTGGAATCTGCCGGTGACGATCAATACATGTAAACATCTGCACGACGAAAGGCACAGTCGACCCTACCTGATACTAGTCTGCGCTTTCAGCGGGTCGACGGATAACATGCACATTTACAAGAAAATATTACAGTCATTGCAAAATAATATCTAAATACCCCTGTAACAAGGATAACTAACCACTGTTCTTGATTCGATGATTATGTTCTTGCTATACCCAATTGTTGCTTTCCTTTCTATCTTTCAAACATCCTTTTTACATAGAAAATTATACAAATATACTCAATCTTCAGACTTCAGGCTGCACCTAGCAGTTATAACAGCGTATCTCCAGCAGTTGTCTAGCATCTCCCCATAGTTCTTCAAATATAACTGACACAGATATTTACACACAAATAGTTCTACACACACCGGACTCCCGCGACAGAAAATACGGAACGATCGGAATCAAAGCAGGATCCGCCGCAGTCCGACCAGCCGGTACTACCACGAACATAACGGCGGCTTGGCACCCTCACTCTCAAGTGTTTCGTGTGTACATGGAGACGAAATTAGTGTTACTTCGTAAGCCGCCCCAGACTCGGGCATCCGTCCCATTCCGGAGAATAGTTCGATGAGCGCGTGTGATGTTCCGTTGCACAAAGCCCCCGGGACCGGGACGGACCCGATCGATCATCACCGGATTCGAAGATTTCTCGGTGAGGCTCACAGGGTTGATGATATGTACCATTCTTCCTCAAGGTACTGTTTATTCACATCTCGAACGGGAAATGTTGCATTCCATACATGTCCAAAAGGTCAGAACGCCAAGTCAAACTTGGTTCGTGTGGAATTCAGCGTTTGGGATATCGGTCGCTGCTAGAACTTGGTGATAAGTCCGTTGAACCAGAAAGCACAGAGGAGATGCTGTCTTGATGGATAGGCTGAAATTGTATAAATACATGTAGTCGCTGCTGCCCAACTCCATCACACTTAGACTGTCCATCCACACCATCAACCTGAACAGCCATCAGACCTTTCGAGTTTCTTTGACAGAAACCAAGCCTTACCTCCCACCAAACAATCAATACATCTTCAGTACAACGACCTTACATATCAAAGCACCAGCAGCCCTCTTAAAGTCTCCGTTGATCACTACCCAGCCCTTTATCTTCAAAACAATGCTTCAATCCACCTCGTTCATCTCCTTGGCCATCCTCCTGGCGAGCGGCCTCTTTTCAACCACTGTCTTGGCAGCACCAAACGCCTTTGTGTTTTTAGTTTTTGTCTGCATTTTTGAAAATTGAAAATTAAGAGAAACAAGGGAATACCCATAATCTTGAACAGGTTAGCTGAAGAAAAAAAACAGAAAAGAAAAGAAAAGAAAAAAAGAATTGATCGTGGCAGGGTTCGAGCCTGCGACCTCCCGCAATGCATCGCATCGTTTCCGTGTACCGCAGACATTGACCTCTATACTCGTGAATTGCTCGTCAGCCACCGAAGGGATTCAATCGCGCGTGCCTTCAATCGCATACTTTGAGTGCAGGTGCCCATAACCACTGGGCCACACGACCAGAGAAGTTGTCTCAACATTAGGGAGAGGGATAGTTATTTGTACTAATGTCTAGGGGCAACGTCCTAGCAGGCGGATAGGGGGGTTCCGAGCCGCCCATAAACCTACTAAGCAGTTACTACTGGTAAGCTCACTAGAGGAAGCTCATCCCAGATAAAAAGCTCAAATCAATAAAGCTATTCAGAGCTAAATAAGCCATGGTTTTCAGTATAGTTAAGCCGTTATTAATTAGTAGATTACTAGCTTATTATAGGAGAGTAGCTCAATTAACAAGTAGTTTATAACTTTTAAGGAGCTTATAAGCAGTTCATTACATTTGAGCAGCTTATAGGCAGTTCATACATAGTTGGGTAAGGGGAGTACAGGAGGCAAAAAAGTCTCCCTTTTCATCGTTAAAGTCAGTAACACCACCACAGTGACGGCAAGTGGCTGGCGGCTGGCCGGCTCGGCAATGTGGGCACCACTTTCTGCCGTATTCACCGCCTTCGGTACCTACTACAACAACGCGC